TGTTCAACCATGGATATTGCCAGGATATTCCCGCAATGTTCTGTATATTTTTTGAACATTCTGGGATATTCATGGAATATCAAATGCTATCTGGGAAGCTACTAAAGCGAAAAACCGGTACAGGAACATTAGGCAAAATTAGGTACAAAAATAACATTTATTAAGTAACGTTTGATGCTTAAAAACTTTATACAACCTGACGAACTTTTAATGATAAAACCCTGTTTTTCTTAGCCAGACTTCAGCAATCAAAACTCCATCGAATTGATCGATTGTTTGGTAGATCAGGTCTGGTAGATGGGCACCTGAGACATCTAAATGTGGCGTTTGGCCACGTTAAACAATTCCTCAGACATCGCCAATCCAGTTTGCTGCACCATTCCGTAAAGAACGCCGGTTTTATCCTGAAGAAGCACGAACGGACGGTCGAACTCCTTCACAGTACCCGCATCCATGACGAGGATTTTATCCGAATCCATCACAGTGTTCAGCCTAAAAAGCGCAAAGTTTTACTCAAAATCGTTCGATTCGGGGCTTGAACAGCACCTATGGGCAATGGTGAGGACTGTGCAGTCTTTGAACTTCCGGCGAATGGTTTGCTGAATCAGAGCATCAGTCTGTGGATCAACGTTAGCAGTAGCCTCATCCATAACCAGGACTTTGTTGTTGCGTAAAATCGCCCTCGCCAGACAAACCAGTTGTCGCTGGCCGACGCTGAAGTTGGCCCCACCTAAGCCCCAGAGAACTTTAAAGCTGCAGAAAAAGGGGCGAATTGAAGCTCAAACCTTCGGACATTTGCGAGCTCAAACCAGCTGGTAACTCTTCGACGACTTCTTTAAGTTCCACCTCATCTAGCACGCTCCACAGCTCGATGTCGCTGAAATCGTCGAAAGGGTCCAGGTTTTTCCGCATCGTCCCGGAAAACAGCACAGGCTCTTGCGGGATAATGGAGATTTGCGGCCGCAGATCGTGCAATCCTGCAAAGAGCTCGGCGTTAGCCAAACAAACTCTCCCGGCCTGATTCAGTAAAAAATTACCGATTTGAGTGATATCAACATCGTCAATCAAAATCGAGCCAGTTGTATCAGACAGTTGGAATAACGCGTTAATTAGCGAGGATTTCCCAGCTCCTGTGCGTCCCACAATGCCGATCTTCTCCTTGCTTTCGATCGCGAAGCACAAATCTTCCAGCACCGGCGGATCGCTGGCGAAGTACCTAGAAATCGGGTTATCGCCTAGTTTTCCTTTTGAGCTCTGGTCACCTTAAGCTGACGTGTTTGAACTCGATTTTTCCCTCACTCGGCCAGGTCTTTGGCGGTTTCTTCTCCGGACTGGACTCCAAATCGCCCTCACTCTCAATCGAATTGTATTCGATCACGCGCTCGACCGAAGTCATCTGATTTTCCAGTTCGGTGGACTGTCTTATGCCCCATTGGAGCATTCCTGTTAAGCCGATGGCCTGCGTGATGCCCAAACCCACATTTCCCCCGAATGTTTCTGCGAAAGAAAACCCCTCCATTACCCCTAAGTTGTACATTGTATTGTCTATTTATCAAATAAAATACGTTTCGGTGTTTTCCACCATCATCAGTTTCTATGTGTAGCGTTGTTGCTGCTTTAAGCCTTGGCATTTACCATTTACATACACCCGTTAACGGAATAATGTAGGAAATTATCTTCTCCACCATCTGTCAGTGTCAACTTTGACACAAGTTTCCATGGCAACCGGTTT